ATGACCATTTAAGTGTTGACAGAAGTGGTTTCTTCTTCATTATTTTATATTCTTTAATTTCACACTTGCTTATTTAATTTAGGGGACAATCTACGATGAGGTTGGCCATGTGAAGTAACCATAAAGAATTTGGAACTTGTGAGAAAAGCTGAAATTAAAGACGAGCGAATCACATTCAGAGAGAGCTAGCAGAAATCCTAAGTATTTCTGAATGTACTAATGGGCGAATTACATTCGACCTTTGAAATAATAATAACAATAATAATTATTATTATTTTCGTCAATCTATAAAGTAAATAAATATGAAACCCTATATAAGGAAATGTCTATGTAAAGGTTGCTCTAATTATACAGGGTGTTTCAGTTTATTGTTGCATAACCTTAAGATTCGATAGAACTTTTAAAATTAATGCATAAAGTCTATATAAACATGGGTCGGAAAATGCGTTTCATCCGAAATACAGGGTGTTTAAATTTACTTTCTAAAATAGTTTTTTTTAAATATTTCGAACAATATTTGATGTATAACAGTGAAAATTGGTATACAAGGGTTTTTTGGTACGACAAAACGAACCATGGGCATAGTTTTACTGTAGCCGCTAGAGGGCGCTCTCTACTGTACCTGTAGTGTATTAAAATGACCGAATAATTTTTCTCAGTGCCATTTTTTGGTTTTTGAATAAAAAAATGATTCTTCGCACTTTTCAAGATAAAAAAGCTCTCTTGTGTGTTTTCGTTGTAGTTAGCCGTTTTTGAGATAATTAGATTTTTAAAGTTCGATGCATTTTTAATTATTTATGATAAAATAACGTTAAAAAGTCAGTATCTCGATAATTTTAGAAGTAGGCTGTGTCTGTCTATTTTTGAAATTGAAAGCAGAATAAGGTTAAATGTTCCCAGTTAGTTTTGTTGTCGTTTTTTTGCAATTGTGAATGCACGAAATTTAGTTTCTTTTACCTGTTTTTTTTGTAAGTTTTAAAAAAATGCTATTTTTATTCTCCAATCAAGAGATAGCGGATATTTATTTTGTGTATGGCTTTGTAAATGGAAACGCAGCAGAAGCAGCCAGAGAATACGCACGAAGATTTCCAAACAGACGACATCCAACTCTCTCAGTATTTGTAAGAGTGCATCGCCAAATAATTGAAAATGGTTTTGGAAATCTCCAAACGGATCAAAACATAAATGTTCGTCAGCGCAGATTTACCCGTATGATTCTGCGTGAGTTTGATAGAGATCCGACTACAAGTGTTAGGAGAGGTTTTGGTGCCTTGGGAATTTCAGCAAGCCATGCTCACAGTGTTCTTAGAAATGACCTTAGACGTCGTTACCATTTGCAACCTGTGCAAGGACTACAGCCAGTGGACGGAGAACGAAGAATCACATTTTGTCAGTGGATTCTTGATAGAACTGATAATAATAGGGAGGAGAGGAGTTTTTGAGTAACGTTTTATGGACCGATGAGTCATGCTTCACTAGACGTGGAGTGGTAAATTTTCATAATCAACATATTTGTGTGGGGATTTCTAAAAGAAAAAGTGTACCAGACTCCCGTAACCACAAGAGATATGGTAATAGACAGAATCAGGAATGCATGTGATGAAATAAGGCCTTATTTGAATAATGCTATACCACGTTCGATCATTCGTAGATGTGAATTGTGTATTGAACAATTGGGTTTACATTTCGAGCAACTATTTTAGATTTTGTATGTTTGTCCTAACTATCCAATAGCATTTTAGTTGTAAATAATTAATTTAATTTGTTAAAAATAATATTGGGAAATTAAGCAAATTAATATTCTGTTTTTTTGTGTTTATTTGGAGTTAGGAATTATTGATGTGTTTAAAAACACAGTCTAAACGATCATCTTAATTACTTGTAATGCCCAAATCGAAAATGTAAAAAAATATTATTTTCCCATAAATAATGAAAAAGGCATCGAACCTTAAAATTCGAAATATCTCAAAAACGGCTAACTATAACGAAAACAGGAGAGCTTTTTTATGCAGAAAAGTACGAAGAATCAGTTTTTTTATTCAAAAAGCAAAAAATTGCACTAAGAAAAAATTTTCGGTCATTTAATACACTACAGGTACAGTAGAGAGCGCCCTCTAGCAGCTACAGTGAAACTATGCCCATGGTTCGTTTTGTCGTACCAAAAAAATCTTGTATACCAGTTTTCACACGTTATAAATCAAATATTGTTCGAAATATTTAAAAAAAAAACTATTTTAGAAAGTAAATTTAAACACCCTGTATTTCGGAAGCCACCCATTTTTCGACCCATGTTTATATAGACTTTATGCATTAATTTTAAAATTTCTATCGAATCTTAAAGTTATGCAACAATAAACTGAAACACCCTGTATAAAACATTGTATGCATTCATAGGAAATGTCCCGAAACTTTGTAGCCTTTGGGTACTCCACATATTAACTGACGAATGGTGGGTGATAAGGTTGCAATTTACGTTTTTGAATGTTCCAGCAAAAGGATATAGCCAAAGCCATTTGAAGTGAACATCAATTGAAAAACTAGGTGTTGGTTGGAAAAAGAATGATCGTGTCTTTTTCAGAAAATCGGGTTTAGTACCTGATAAACAGAAGACACCGTTAAATGATACACACATTTTTTTTACCACAACTATTTACAGCTTTGAAAAACTTAAGATATATGTCGCCGCTGCGCTCGTGGTATCTTCACATCAACAATCCGCCGACGCATTGCGCTCAGTTAACAGTTTCTGAATCACCTATAATCCAAGTGTTGGATCATCCACCTTATAGCCCAGACTTGGCACCGTGAAACTTTGGTTTTTTATACCAAATCATAGCTGATGAACTGATTGCGGCCTGGTAGTCGCTCGTTTCAACTCAAAAGCATTTTTCAAATTCATTAGAGCTTACAGCCCCAGAAAAATTCGGTATATTCCACCCACGATTGTCTTAACTAATCAAAATTATTACATGTCAATAACAAAGAAGTGCCAAAAGGAGAATTGTACAAACGTGGAGAGAAATTGTAAGTATCTATATACGGTGGACACAAGAGGATCTTAATAAGTGATATTATTTAATTACTTAGCTGGAATATTACGAGCTCGATCACTACTTACAATGTTGCTGGATGTCCATGAATCAGAACTTCAACCATAATTACTGAAATTAGACGTACTCTGATCCTTTCAATTCCTATTTTGTATTTTCATGTTGCGTAACAGTCATACTCATGGACTTTTTTCGGACAGGTACAAAATTTTAAATAACATGACTTTGGCTACTCATTCCCAAAAGTTCTTACTCTTTCGGGGTGTTTTGAACTTGTATGTGCGCATAATTTGGATACAATGCCTGCTGACTCAATCTACTTGACTCAACGTTTCTCTTTCATATATTATGTGTGTGAGCAATGTAGAGGGTAGGCATTTATCATAAGCTATATTTACTCCATCAAGTGTCACTAGCCTATACTGCTGGTGAAGTTCCATACTGGAATAGAGAAAAGATTTCTGTTGGAGGTTATATGTATATGTATTGATTTTATTTATGTGGTAGCAAGGTTTATGATGCTATGGAGGAGATGGCGCTATAACACGTCATCCTGTTCGTTTTGTTCGTTCAAGATTGCACACTCAACTTTTTTTGCAAAGAAAATTAAGGATTTAACATATACAGGGTATCCCGAAATTGAAGGATAATTCTGCAATCAGGGCGAACTGGCAAAACCAAGGTCATTCTCTCCAGATACAAAACACATAAATCTCCAGGCAAAATCTAGGACACTTTCTTACCAACAGAGTTTGATTTTTTGACAAACGACAGTTTGACCTTCCTTGGAAACTTCTATTTTGTTTTTTTGTTTTGGGTAAGCTACACATTCAATTTTTAATTATGGATTTAATTCCCAATCGAGAAACTATCGTTCATAATATTCATATAATAATAGTAGTAATAACCTTTGTCATATATTTTTCAATGTAAAACACTTGTGATTGTGTTCAGGAATACTTAAGATTGCATACTTCAATAAGCTTGTTTTTCTTTTATTAATCAGTCATGTCTGGATTTGGGGTTGCCTCTTCGTACATCGTTACTTTAAAGTACTCATGCAAATATCTTTCTTGCAAAAATTCCTATTTCCACATTGTTCGGAAATCTTATTGTATATACAAAAATAAAGTATTCCATCGTTTACCAAAAGATGAAAAAACTGTTGCTGCATGGAAGGCAGCTTGTAAGATATCTCCCACTCGTAAAGTTTCCAATTATTATGTTTGTGAGGATCATTTTTTCCTTCACGTCACAGATATCTTGCAATACCAGTGTCCCCCAATACAAATTTAAATAATCATCCTACTAAACCAGGTCCCAGTTCAGTATCTAGGGTTTTATTCAGTCACCCTCTTTCTGGAGCGGCTAACACAAATCCAACCCCTTCTGAGCAAAATGGAAATTCCAGTGTTATTCTGGAAGATCAAAACAATGAAATCAGTGGAAGTGGTTCTAGAACAGAATCTAATTATTTAGATAAATATTCTTTTTTCTTAGAGAAGGGCTCTGGCATATTAACAAAATCTGGTACATCAAAGAAGGAATAGTGCCCTAAGGAATCAATTGTGTATAAAGTCCACAGGAATGTTTGGTCAAGGCTATCCAAATTAAAATCAATCTTCATTGTCGGTGGGGTTGACAAATCAAACTATTTCAAATTTGTTGAAGGCTGGCAAATAACAATTAGATCTGTTATGTCACTATGGAGGGATCTTAAGGAGAAGGGCTTGAAATATCTTTGTTTGAAAATTTAAATCAAGATTCCCTGGAAAATTTATTTGGTCAAATAAGACAGCATGGTATCTTCAATACAAATCCCACCTGTCATCAGTTGTTGCTGCTTAAAAACAGTAGTTATTACTAATTTCAGCACACCCTTTCCTAAAGGTAATTGTGAAATCGATTTTTGTGATACTTTGGTCGATTTCAGTCACTTTTTGGATGAATATGACCAAAGTAATGATACAGTGCTTAGACCCTGAGATTCTAAGTGACTCTGACATAGAAATAATGGACAGTTCTGTTGAATGGAATCCTTCCAATGGTTATGTGACTGGGTACATTTTGGACAGACTCAAAATTGATAGTAATTGTTAATCCTGTGCAAGGCTATTTTCTTTGGTTGTCACTGAAAAACATCTATTTGTGACGTTTAAAGAGCATGACGAGGAAAAGCGATTGAAGTATGCAAGTGAAGATTTAACTAACCTGATTGTTCTTCTGGATGAAAAGTTGTATGCATTTTTAGAGCAGCATGGTACAGAAGACCAACTGCAAGTTAGATTTAGACGGAAGTATTCCTGCATCCTTCAAAACTACAGCTTTTGTCAGCAGCATGATGTATAAGTATAATTGAAAAACTGCTCGGTTGGAAATTTACAAGTATGTAAAGAGAAATTCTTTGGAAAGGAGTGGTGAGACTACTAATAGTCATATATCAACAAATAAGACATTCAAGACAGATAAAGTCAGGTGATGCTTTTTATGTAGTCCAGCACTCTTCGTTCATTGAATTTTCTATTTACTTTTAGTAACCAAATACTACTGTGATATTATACCTAAAAATATTTTTTTCGTTTCATAGTTGCATCATACTTGGGAGGGCGCAGTTGGACGAAGGATAATTATTTATTTTGTTACTCCCTGTAATGTTAAAGCCATCAGGAGCTTTTGGTTTTAAGTATGAGGAATGTCTTATTAATTTTTAACTTTGATTTCTTCTTTGAAGAAAATTTTCCTCATTTTTACACTATAAAAAATAATGTTTTCTCAGATTATATTTTTATCTCAGTTATTTATTTAACTAGAGATTTATTTTTTCTTGTTTTAGTATGAATGTTTACGTTTCAGTCTTAAATATACCTCATGATGGATTAACAATAGGTAGTGCTTGCTAAACACTTCCTTTGATTACTGAGGGTCCCTTTTTATCGTTTTTTATGCTACTAATGTATGATTTGTATTTTTTTGAAACATCACTTATTCACTTAATAATATAGAGAAAGCTCAGGATGCCTAAAAGTACCTTTATATATTGTCAATGTACTGTGATCATAAATTATTACTTATTATTAATCATATATTTCACTATTTAATAAATATTTTATTAATTACGCATTTATTTTTTATTATCCCAAAATTGGTTACCACCAAAACTGCTGAATCAGGTATTTCCTTTATTGAGGATATTTTATGCATCTATGCTCATAAAATATTTCTTCAATATGGGACATATCACTTTCAGCAGATTTTAAATTGTAAACAAAATAAATCCTCGGCACATTCCTAGCGTTCCTAACCTCTCGGCACATTCTTTGAATTCCTTCGATAGTTCTTCCAGATCTCCAGGCAAGTAGGCGGCGCAACCATCTGACAAAACGTCAACGGTGTTTAACGTGCAGTCTTATGTGTTTGTCCCTGCAAACTGTAGATAGGTCACGTCATGCCCTACTATATGGTCGAATTTTGTTTTATTAGAAACCTATAGTTTTTGAGATTTCCAGCATCCATTTTTTTAAAAACTGGTGCATAAATAGTTAATCCCATCCCATTTCTATAGATATCAACTTTTTTGAACCAGTTTTATTTAAAAAAACCCTGAATTAGCGTTAGAGAGTTTCATCTCGTCCAGCATCATTTTTCCTTGAGACGGCGAAAAACCTACATAAAAGTCATAGCAAAGTCTGCATTTCATTAATACCCCTTTTCACGGCTGACTTCGACACCGTGTAGAGTGAGAGGATTGAGTACGAACACTGTGCCAATTTGTCTAAAAAGTTGGCCAACATTAAATTTTATTATTGTTATTGGGCCTCTGCTGTTTTTTCGTTTTATTGCAGTTGTAATGGAGGAGGGGCAGTTTTCGTAGATATCAGAATATAATAACATATAATAATAATAATTTATTCACAGTATTTGTATAATTTGTGAATCTACAAGTGAATAAATTGGAAAAATAAATAACCACAAAGGGATGGTGTCTTTATGCGTGGTTTAATGTCCTTAAAAGGTAAGTGTTCATACTGAAAATCTATTAATATGCCTTGGATTTGGATACAAAAAAATGGCCAGGATTGATATTAATGGTAATCTACATTTAAGATATCAATGCAATGGACACCATTGGCTGTTATGCATGACCTACATTTTGTCATAAAATATGTTTCTAACCTACAGAAAATAAACTGAGTATAGTCAACGCCAAACAAAGTGGCGTGCACGTCATCAAGGTGGGTGTGTTGAAAAATTTACATTGTTGCCAAACTTTTTGTAAAATAATAAAATTTATTATTTACATATCTAGGTTTATAAGCAATATTAACCTCAAATGAGAACAAAAATAATAGTATAATAAAATTATAGATCTGTACTTGCATAATCATTAAGTATGACAATTATTGATCAGATGACACTATGAAACTACCATATTTAATTGATAGCTTAAAGGTACTGAATAAAAATCCAATGGGGTCCTCCAAATTTTATGCATGGTATTTATTTTACAGAATTCATACAGAAAAATGCATTCTAAAATTAGGTAAGCTACTGGTGTAAGCTTTTTCTGTACAATAAAGTTAGTCGGAGTTTCTTTCTTCAGCGCTGTCTGAATCTGAATCTTCATCACTCTCAAAGTTGATTATTAAAGGTTCGATGTCTGGTCGATCAAAAATTCGTTCTCTTTCATACCATTTAAAAATTTCTTGCTCAGTATGTCGAACACTATGTTTCCACATGTCTGGGGTAACCGTTTGTAGAGCCTCGTTCCACATATCCAAACAGTCTTTTTCACTGTTACCATCTCTACCAATATGTCTGTTATAGTAACCTTTTGCTATGCCCCAAATTAACTCAATAGGGTTAAATATACAATGGTAAGGAGGCAGACGAAGAACTTTGTGCCCATGTTGTTCCGCCAATTCATCATCACGTATATTTTAGGTGGTTTGTTTCTAAAAAAGCAGTTATTTTAAGAATAGGAATAAACAAAGAAATATAAACTGTCGACCAAAATATATATATAATTAAGAAGCATTATGTACCGAGCAACAATACTCAATAGCTCTGTTTTAAACATTGTGTTTAAAAATGGTATGTTTTGATTTGTCAACCAGTCTTGGATATTTTTTTTTTGTCCATGCATTGTTGGGCACTTTGTTCAATATCATGCTGTGATAAGGGGCGTTATCCAGTATAATCATAGATGGACTCTCCAATTTTTCTAATAACTGATGTTGAAACCATTTCAAAAAATTGTCCTGGTTCATCTCTCCATGGTAATCGCTCAATTTTGTTTTCGAAGAAAATATCGCTTCACTACCCTCAATAAACCCATTTTCATTTCCAGCATGTAATATAATGTATCTAAATATATTAGTTTTAAATTTTATAGTGCAAATTGTGTAAAAGTACATACCTTTTACCATCTGTTTTAATAGCTTTCACGCTTTTTTGGTTTCCATTTTGCCAAGAGCGACCTATGGTCCCATTTTGAAATATCCAAGTTTCATCGAGGAAGACAAACTGGTATAAGGCCTCAACCTTGGCTTGATTGTATTGCCTTAGAAATTCCACCCTTTTCAAAGCTATACTTGGTAGTTCCATGAGCCCTCGTCGCGGATTGTCCTTAAGCCACTTAAATCCAAGATCTCTAAGCAACCGCCTTAAAGACGTGGCACTACCATCAAATAATGCCCTATCTCTTAATCGAGACCATAAAGTTTGTATCGTAACTTGTTCTTCTGAAACCATGTGTAATATGACATTATAATTTAGTTAACAAATTAATGCAAATTTCTGATAAGTTATTATAATAAGATCTTACTTTTGTGATACATATTATAGATCACTTCTCGAATGGCACTTGTATCCAATGTCGCTGTGTTGGTTACACGTTTAATATAACTCCGCTTTTTCTTGGGCGATTCTAAATTTGCATCACTTTCACACCCTCGGAAATACGACTAACTGTCCTTAAACTAATTTTTAAAGCAGCAGCAACACGCTACAAAAATGAAATAAAATTTCACTATTATTAATATACATTACATATAATTATTAGTTACCTACCTCTTAACAGCATTTAAAGGCAACAAAGGCCCGTCGTTGTCCCTTTCTTGCTCAAAGTAGTGCATTAACGAGGCCACGAGTTCCTTACACCGACTATTTAACTGTTTGGGCATCTTTATATACCAAAATTGCCTTTATCTACTCGTAAAATGAATAATTTTGTTTTGAAACAAACAGTTGTTGATTTACAGTATGCGGGGCCAAAGGATTTATAAAGATTTGAAATGCCACAAATTGATTCAGTGTCAAAATTAATACAAATGTCAGTTCCCAGTTTAAATAAGTTTCAAGGTGACAATGTGTCAACGCTGCGAAATCGGTTTAGTGTGTTTACATGTCGATAAGTGATTGGAGCGTTTGCAAAACATTTTATTTCGCATAATGCGTCTAAATTTATCAGAAAGCAACTTATGTGATATTTTAATAACAATGTTTATATGACTATTAACCATAATAAGAGAGTAATGACCATTTTACAATTTATATATCACATTAATATGAAACTGCAATAGAGCAATTGTTTGTGATAGAAACCTAGGCATTAGGTCGGGGAATTTTTATCGTGATGACGTGCACGCCACTTTGTTTGGTGTTGACTATACCTATTAGTATGTTGCATCAGAATATTTTGATTGACAATCGAGCATACTCAGAAGACAGGTTACAGAGAAGGTGACAATGGCAGATCTCAGATGGATTTCGACGAGGAGATTCTGTTGTACGTGAATTGGGAGAAACCTATATGGAAATTATTCTGAAGTTTGAGTTCTTAAGAAAAACCATCCTCACGTCTGTAAATAAGGCAAACACATCTACTGCAACATAATAATATTAAATAATACGCCAGCACATCACACTTGGTCAGACCGAGACCATTTCGATTACAAAAATGCAATATTCGTAAAGGTGATTCAAACGGCGCGGCCTGATTTCAAGGTCGTTGGACCTGAATCCACTAAATTTTTTCTTATGAGGGATGCTTTAGAGAATGTGTATACCAAGCTATGTTGACCACAGTAACAGAATCGAGTTCCGAAATTGAGGCAACCTCGAGCTTTCTAGCGGTAATTTTTTGTAGGCCAAAATAATCGTTATCACAAAATGTAGGTCATGCATAACAGTCATCACAGAATATTGGGACACCCTGCATAAAGGGTGCCTGGATCCAAAATCCATTATTCTGATGGAGGACATCGAAGTATACTTTATAC